ACCAGAGGACTCACACAGGAGAGAAACCATTCGAATGGTTTCTCTCCTGTGTGAGTCCTCTGGTGGTTCACCAGGCTGCCATACCAACTGAAACTTTTCCCACAAATAGGACATTCAAATGGTTTCTCTCCTGTGTGAGTCCTCTGGTGGTTCACCAGGCTGCCATACCGACTGAAACATTTCCCACAAATAGGACATTCAAATGGTTTCTCTCCTGTGTGAGTCCTCTGGTGGTTCACCAGGCTGCCATACCGACTGAAACTTTTCCCACAAATAGGACATTCAAATGGTTTCTCTCCTGTGTGAGACCTCTGGTGAATGACCAGGCTGGAATTCTGACTGAAACGTTTCCCACAATCAGAACATTCAAATAATTTCTCTCCTGTGTGAGTCTTCAGATGATTCCCTAGATGGGATTTTTGTCTGAAACCTTTACCACAATCTGGACACTCATAAGGTTTCTCTCCTGTGTGAGACCTCTGGTGAATGACCAGGCTTGAATTGTGACTGAAACGTTTCCCACAATCAGAACATTCAAATAATTTCTCTCCTGTGTGAGTCCTCAGATGATTCCCTAGATGGGATTTCTGTCTGAAACATTTACCACAATCTGGACACTCATAAGGTTTCTCTCCTGTGTGAATCCTTTGGTGATTCACTAGATGGGATTTTTGAATAAAACCTTTACCACAATCTGGGCAGTCATGCAGTTTCTCTCCTGTGTGCATCCTTTGGTATATCACCAGGTCATAATTTCAATTGAAACATTTCTCACAATCGGGACATTCAGAGGGTTTGGTGTCTTGTGAGGTGAAATTTTCTAATTAGACTTTTGTCACAATCTGATTTCTTTACTATGTGAGTCCTCTGGTGGTCCGCCAGGTGGGAATTCTGACTGAAATTTTCCCCACAATGTAGATTTCTGCCCAATATAATTTAGACATATGATTTCTGCCCAATATAAATTATCTGGTGTTTCACCAAGTTGACATGCATGTTAAAGCTCCATTCCTGTATGAGTCCTTCCATCAAGCACAAGGGAGTTGTCGTGATGAAAGCTTTTCCCACATTCAGAGTGTTTGTATGGCTTTTCTGCAATATGAATCATTTTGTGCATAATCAACCATGATTTGGAGTCTGTATTTTCCCCCACAATATGCATGTCAGTAGAGCTTTTCCACCATGCCTTATAGATTGTTTAGTTGTGCTTTGAGTGCAGCTACTGTTGCCTTCCTCACAGGGTGATGTCTGCTTCACTGTCTGCCCTATGCGGCTGTTCAATTGACCTTTTCCTCCCCACTGACATCCTAGCATTGCCCTCTTTTTCTGAATGGAAAAATAATCTCCCTTGACTTTTCAAGAATGTATCTTTGAGTTCCACATACTCCACATTTTCCTGCTCATAATCTCTGCCTAATTTTCTCTCCTTTGTCTCTTACCTACTAGGGAAGCAGAAGAATTGTGTGGTTTCTGTAGGAAATGGAAAATATTTTGATTTCTGGCTTGATTTGTTTTCCTTTTCAAAGTTGCTTNTATATTAACACACTCTGATGCTAAGGAGTTAGACATTCTACTCCCCCTCCCCACCTGAAAATAACTCTGTTCCTACTGCCAGTTGCCTCACATTCTGTTACCTCAGTTCAAACTGGCAGAGGTTCCACTCCTTCACTCAGGAGCAGTCTGGGACTCCTTACAGTACTAAAGGTCAGTACCTCACCAAAATGTCTATGCCTTGCATCTATGGAACTGCTTCCAAACTCAAGGCGGTGGGATAGATATTCCCTTATGAGTTTCAATCATCGACCATCACTGAGCTAAGGGATTGTGAACCAAATTTCTCCTGCATAGTGTCCCAACTCACTTCTTACATTGACTTTCTCAGGTCAGACAAATCTGTTCCTTTTACTGTAACACCAGTTAAAAGGAAAAGCGGCTCTCCAAGAGGCAGCAGCTGGGAGGCTTCTTTGCCAGCCAGCTGCTTCCCAGCACAAAAATCCAGTCAGCTTGCCGGAAGGCCTCTGGACCAGCCTCTGCAGAAGGTGAGCAACCAAAGATGGGGGGGGGGAGAAGCAGGGTTATGGCCAAGGTTTAGGAGGGGAAATAGGGGTGATTGGCGAATGGAGGGTGGGGCAATGAGAGGGCGGCGGCTCCTGGGCAAGGCATTCCCCGACTTGACCGAGGCGGGTGGTGGCTCCAGGGGCTTAGGGAATGAGACATCTCTGGGGCCTCAGCTCGCGCAACCAGTTTGTGCAAACTGATGCAAACCGACTGAATACCACCTCTGAATGCTGAAAATAACGGCTGCTTCCAGGACATAGCCATGTGGCCCTGGGATAAGTGTCCTGGCCTTCTTTACCAACTTCAGATTCAGAGATCTTCAAAGGGTATGGAGGAAGAGCTTGGGAGGCCTGGTGGGATGTGAGTCAGGCCTAAGGACTGCGGGAGGCAGCGGAATGGGAAAAATGCCTTTGGGGACCCTGTGGGTTGAGCAAAGGCTTTTGGAGACCTGTGGGGGAGGGAAATACTTATAGCGACCCTGTGGGAGAGGGCAAAGCTTGGAAGGATCCTGTAGAGAGGGAAAGGCTTGATAACAACAACCAAAAAAAAAAAAACAGGTAGTACACCTTTATCGAATTAATATTTTCCATTTTTCTCTTCAATCACAGGTCTAAGATATCTTTCAGTAAAATGAATCAGGCCGAAACTTAAATAGTCAATTTCTCACCTACACTTCCAATGAGAGAGCAAAAATGAAATTTAAGCCTTCTCTAAATTCATCAACTTTTGCCAAATGTGGATAACTTGACTTTCTCTCCTGTGTATAAACCTACATTACTTATAGGTCATTTGTATAGTTTCTCTCTTGTATGTATCTTCTGGTATCTCACCAGGTTAAAATGGTGACTGAAACTTTTCGCACAATCCATACATTCAAAGGGTTTTTCTCCTGTGTGAGTTCTCTGGTGTATCACCAAGTTGGTAATACGATGGAAACCTTTCCCACAATCTGGACAGCTGTGCGGTTTCTTTCCTGTATGTGTGATTTGATGTTTCACAAAGTTAGAATTATTTTAAACTTTAAAAAAAAAAAATTAAACACAAATAATACAAACAGTACATGTATAACTGAATACAAAAAGGAAAGACAAAAGAAAAAGGGGAAAAACATATTACAGTGCTCCCCCTGCCCCCTGGAGACCTCTCCCCCTATATATTTCTTAGATATACAATATATTCCAATTGTGCTCTTACACCCCCCTAAGCAACATATATTCTTGAGTAAGTTTATTCCCTTTGCCTTCCACCAACACTGATTTTATAAAAAAAAANTACTATTGAGATATCCAATTCCTGTAACCATTCTTTGTATATTTTAGCCTCCAGAACCCCAATTATCAAAGATGAATTTTCTTTTTCAGACTTTACCAATACTTGTGATACTCCATTTAAACAATGGCAGATGGAAATCTCTAAGTTTATATTGCAAGGGGGGAAACCAAGAATTAAATATAAATTATTGCAAGATGCTAAGGCAAGAGGAGGTTCAAATTGTATTTTGATGCTTGTTGTTTTCTCTGGCAAGAAGCTTGAGTGATTCTTCACATTAAGATGTTACTTGAGCTAGAGGGCCATGAATTAAGATTTTGATGGCACAGTTATTTCTGGTATCATTTGGTTAGGGAATGATATATAGGCAATGAATTTTGGATATATAAAGAAGAGATTTTGATAATTTATGGTGCACATGTGACAAAGCAAAGAAATAGTGGAGTACGATACACATCTTAATACAGAAAACTATTAAAATGATATAAAGATAAAACAGTTTTCTTTTAAGTTTAATGCATAAAGAACTTGAAAAAAATGCAACATTGATATTTTATATGTTGATGGCATCAAGAATATTTAGGCAAAAAAAAATCGAAGAATATTTCCATTCCCACAATGGATGAAAGGCTGCAAATCCTGAAATTTAGCAGAGTTGGCTAAATTGACTGCCTTGACTAAAGGAAAGGACACAATAAATTTTGTTTTTATATGGAAACTGCTCCTAGACTTTGTGCTTAAGGTGGATAAAATGATTTGGGGTGTATTTTGATTAGATAAGTCTGTTGTTATAGAACTGGCTAGTTTATATTATCATAAAAAAGTTGAGGTTTTATGCAAGTACCTTATTCTACTGCAGCAAAAGGAGTCTAAAGTCAATGCTTTTCTTTTTCATTTCCCCTTAACCCTACACTTTCTCTTGTTCCCTTTCCCTTCTTTAGGTTGCCATTATTTTCATTTGATGAAATGAAGCCTAAGGTTCTGCAAGATTTGAAGCACCAGTTTTGCCCACAGAAGTTATCAGTTCCAAGTTAGGGCAGAATATATTTTCCGCAACCACTCTAGTGATATCCCAATTCAAGTAGTCCTCAGTTAAGTGGCTGCATTTGGGACTGGCTTCTGTGTCACTGAGCAGCCTGATCATGGAGCATGATCTACTAACTTATATCTGTTCCTCTTCGGTTCTTAAGCAAATCCCTTTGAGTTGTTAAATGCAATTTCACATAACTGCACTTGCCAATTTCTGCTGGCATCCCCACTGGTTCTGCTTTTCAGAAGCTAGCTGGGAAGGTCACAAATAGGGATCATGAGTGTGGGATGCAACCATCCTAAAAGTGCAGTGGTTGGAGCACTCATAATTTCTGGTGTGTAGCCATTCCCAAAATATCAAACTTTAACAGCGTGCAGCATTAGTGCTCTTACATTTGGGGAGGAAAGGAACTTGCAGCAGCTGACCGCCTACAGCCTAGTTGTTTCTTTGCTTCCAAATCATGGAGGAAACTGAACAGCCTTACCTTCCAGCTGCTGCTTCCATCCTGGGAATAGCACAGGATCCATTCTGCACACTACCTTCCACCCGAAAGAGGAAGTTGCTGTGCTTCTCTTTCCCTCCTGTCCTTTCTAGCAATTTAGTAGTTGATGGTTTTAACCCCTTAAAGCTCAACCACAGATGCCTCTACTGTACTAAGGGTTCTAGATACTGATGCTGCCTCTCTGACTGCCATCTCCCCATAAGAGGCAAAATAACACTTTTATATGTCGGTACATGCATAATTTTGTATTTATTTATTTTGACATGTTTATGTAGTGTATATTGGAGGTGGTGACCCTTTGAGAGCTGTATGCAATGAAATTTCATTTTAACGAATCAGTGATCAGTGTACATTCAAAGTTATTCTAAGTCCCATCCTTACCTAAGGCTTTTTCAAGATGTTTTCACTGGTTAAGTGCTATCAAGTTGTTTTTGACTTCTAGAAACCTACCTTTGCAACTGATGCATGTGAAATAGTGAAATGTGATGCTACTTAGCTTGTGAAGATTAGCTGTGTGCTGAGCCCTAAAGGTTTATGAAGGTCTTACAGAATCACATAAAAAGAAATGGGAGAGACCAATTCTCCATTCCAGAAAAATTGCTGTTGAATCTCCTCTTTAAAAAGTTCCAGATGGACCACCCACAACTTCTGGAGGGAAGCCATGGAAGCTGTCAGGTCATCCTTGCTCCTTCTCTGTGTTAGACTGGACATATCATGCAATTATTCATTGTATGGTTTAGCCTCCAGTTCCCTTAACACCATTGTTGCTATTCTCTGTTCTCTTTCTAGAGTTTCAACATCAGGTTTTTCTCATGGTGATAAACACTGGATGCCTAAACTGGTGTAGTCTTACCAGC